CTGACTTGGAGAAGTGACCCATCTTCAGTTTCTTCTTTTTCTTTTAAACTGCCCTCCAACCTCCTCTTTCAATACTTAGTTTAAAAAAAAAAAAAAAAAAAAAGAAACTCTGCTTCTAAATATTAAATGTGTAAGAAAAGGATATAAAACTGCACTCTTTTCTATTTAAGTATGCATCTTGAAATGATGCTAACTGCTCAGGCTAGAAAGGGATTTGGAGAATGGTCTTAGTCATTGTCATTAGCTATGCGTTTTTTGAAAGTGTGCATATGTATAACAGTTTTTTGTGGTTTTTTTATTTTAATTTATGGCTGTATATTTGTGGAAAAGGTGGTTGAAAGTGTAAATAGTGGTGGACGATAAAGGTTGAGATCGCCAAAGTTGGATTTGGAGGAGATGTGTGCTTACATCTCTCCTGCAAAAAAAAAAAAACAAAAAACAAAAAAACAAAAAAACACTCCACAAACCTCAGGACATCAGTGTTCATTCTTTGATGTTTCACAAGATATACCTTTCTTAAAAAAGTGATAAAACGTATCTAATCTTTGAGCTATAAGGCATTGTTAATAGATTACTTCTTTAGTTAAAGCTAATAACAAGTTTAAGCATTTAAGCGTCTTGAATAGCCTTGCATTTCATCCATAAAGAGCACTAAGACCTAGAGAAATGAATAGTTTTTGACTAAGAGGATTTGATTTAAATAAAATGCGGTTAGTTTTGACTTTTGAGAATCTGTCCTTTAAAAGTAGACATATAGACACTTGCTTAAGAGGTATTCTGTCCCTTCAGATTCCAGAAACTTCCAAAACCTTTCAAGCGTACATTGTTGCGCCATGTGCGCCAGTCATGTTTACTACACCTTTTACTGGCCTAGTAGGTAGCAGGATGCTTTTCTGAAATGGTTTTCTTCCCCTCTTGAGCAGTAGCAATGTAAAATACATAAGTAAATAACCTTTTTGACCAAAGAACCGAAAGTTTGGTGGTACTGAAAAAAAAATGTATTGTCTACAGCATGCTTAAAAATCCTGCTTGTGGATTCTTTGCCTACATGCAGAGCAGTGTCTTTCAAAGTATATCCACTGGTGATGTGAGATAAGCAACTGATACTTCAAAGCTATTAGTCTTTTTAGTTTTGAGCTCTCAGTTCATAGAATTTCTTCTCATTCAAATATATGAAGATCTTTTAAAATTTTAGCCTAACATATTCCTTAGGTTGTAAATCAATGGTTGGAACATTGGTTCTTTTCCCTAACTCAAATTCTGATTTTCTGGTGGCAGCTAAGCAGAATGGATGTCTGCAGACCTAAGGCTTGCCAGAGGTGAATGTTAGCAAAAGCATAAGCGTTTCTAACTAAAATAAAAATAGATATTTAAAGGTAGGCAGAATATAGTGATTCAGAAGTGGGAAGAAGCGAATAGGGTAATAAGATTTGGTAAGGCATTGGTATGTGGTTCTGGAGATGCAGTGCTGTTCAAAGAGAGAACCATTCACCAAGTCTTGATTCAGAAAGTTGAAAGATGAGGAAAAGAAAGCTGTTCGGATGAACATAAGAAGCCAAGACCTTTGTAAAGCAACGATTTACAGAAGAGCAGTTTGTGAAATTTTGCCGTTTATATTTCAGCTTTTATAGGTTCTAGAGCTGTATGTAATATCATTACATGTATATTCAAGACACCCAAGGTGAGTTTTACAGAACAGAATAACTATCTAGGAAAGATTCAAAAGTGTGTTTAAAAGGACACATGAGATACTGGCCCGGGAATTCCATCTCTTCTGGAACTGAGGTTGTAAGTGACAATACAGGTGCTCTAATGAGTGTATTAATTGAATGAACAAAACACATGATGTTGCATAGTCTGATATGCTGCTTAGTGGCACAGCATACACTGTAAGTCCCGTGCTTAATGTAAACATATTGTGCTGCATAGAGATGCATGTGGGACAGGCTCAGGCCTATTTGCCCTCTCAAAGAAAAGATGCTCTGAAGGGAACAGCAAGTTGAGAGTAAAAGACTGAGATGTATATGCGTGTGTGCAGATGGTGTAGTTTTAGCACAGCTTGAACACTCATATATGCAGATACATATATAATTTTTCTTACCTCAGGTTTACTTTACATCAGCATAAATAGCTTTTCCCTTAGATGAAAATAAGGCACAGAAAAAAATTACAAGAACTTAGTCATTCAGACACATTCCAAGAACATTAATGGGGGTAGTAGTATTAGAGGAGTTTAGCCTTCGAAAATGACTCAGACTATGTGTCAAGGTGTGGTGCTCATCAGTATAAGGCAGACTTTTGTTCATAAAATAGGGCAGGGAAGTGTGGTTGGTTATTGGTTTGGTAGATGTGAAAGACTTTTAAGTATTTCTGCAGCTGAAATACTGTAACTGAAAATGATTGACTGTACTTTAGATTGTCTGCCTGAAAATACTGATAACGGTTAAAAGACGTTCTCTTTTGCTCAGTACAGAGAAGTTGCCTACCATCAAATTGCAGATATTCCAGTATTCTTTAGTCTGCAGTATAAACTGCAATACTGACAGTAAAATCTGAGTTAAAGAGAATTTGAGGTCAATGCTAGTAATTCACGGGCTGACATCTCACCTCTTTTTACAGTGGATTTGAGCCAAGCTCCTCCTGTTTGTTTGTGGATCTGTTGTGATTTTTTTTATTTATTATTATTATTTAAATGTATTATAGATTTATGAATTTATATGTGCATAGCTAAGACTAATATATTGTAAACATTTGGTTGGTTCGTCTGTTTGCTCTGCTTTCTCAAAGGGGGAAATAACCAGTATGACAATGACATAATCTTTCCAATGAAAATTTAATTTTCTCATTTTTTTGCAGAGACATCCACTGCTTTACCATTTAAACACTTATTAATGTTGCTTAATATTTCCAAATATAAAGAGAAATTCGTATTTGATTTACAATTATGAAATGTACTCTTGACAGCCAAGTACAGTAAGCAAAAAATAAACTGAAGCCAACTTCTGGTAAATACAAGAAACTAGCAAGATATTCAACAGAAGTTTGATTTTTGACATTTTGAAATTCACTCTCTAGTTTTTTAAGGTAGCATGTACTCTTTCACTAGCAGTCATACTTAGCAGCGCTTTCCCTGAAACGTTTTGTTTTATGCAGAGAGATGCACCTTGCAGACCTGGAAGCAGCTGACAGGAGCTGGAAGACCTTTGAAATGATCCTCTTGTTTTCCAGAACTGAAACTATATTCAAACAATACCTACCCTCTCTTTACTCCTGATGACATCCTAAAATACAGATAGAGTGACCGTAAAGTAAGAGTGTAGGTTTTGTGCATATATTAGAGGATTTGCTCAATGACAGAACTGTCCAAGAGGCTTCTGTCCCTCAGGACTGATGATATATTTGCCTCTGAGGCAAACCTCAGTATAACCAGAGGCAGTGAGTGGTTGGGGCTTTTTCCTGTGGTAAACTTACCTCACATTGGTGATCTAGTTAACAGTATGGTGCTAGAAACGGTTCTACTGGCGTGCCGGAGGGAGTGGGGCTTTCCCAACAGGGCTGAGGACAAAGGAATGAATGTGGAAATATCAGTCTTTTTTCCCAGCTGAAGAAAATATATGTTGACTTTGCGTGCAGTTTGTAGGTTCACAAGATTATTCTTTCTATTCACTTTGACACAGTGGTGGCGAGAACATATTAGGATCTTCAACGCTGTTAACTGTCTCATCCTTGTAGATTATTATTTCGGTGATATAAATTCTACAGGACTTCTCAAACTGTGTGGGATACAACACTTCCTTCCCTCTTTCCATTAAGGAAGAAGCAAGCCTTGAATGTCTTGACACTCTTAGACGAAAGTTTCCGGAATCCTAGAGGGATGAAATAGCACATGTGATCATTGTGTTTTTGGTGCTTTGCAAAATTTATTCTAAAATTCATCTTATTTTGTACTGGTGTGGGTGAACTCATGAGAATACCTCTGGTTTAGATGTGATCCTTTGAAACTGGCCAGGGTAATTACAAGGATTTAAAATGGGAAGTTGGGGAAAAAAGCTGGTGACAAGCCGTGGTGGATGGAAAGCAGTGATCCAAAATCAGCCAGAGCAGAGCAACGTTCCCAGGTTCCCATGCGCTGTGTGGCAAACATTTCCTTCAGACTCGGTAGCTGTATGAGTTTCTCTCCTAGTCTCTTTTTCAATTTGTGAATGGTGAGGGAAGAGATTTTTTTCTGTTTTCGCGATGCCTTTCCTCTGTTGGCACCCCTCTGGCTGAGATATCAGCCCTAAGAAGGTTGCACAGAAACCCTCTTCAGTTGTCAGCCATGAGGTCCCCACTGCGTTTGGCCCATATGCTGGAAATAAGAAGTTGTAGAAATCTCATTTGTATCCAGATGGCTTTCTTCCTGTCCTGACAAAGTCATCAGGCAGTCAAGTGATGTTTTGGGTTAGAAAAGGAAATCTGGAAAATGGACTGGCAAATCAGTTCAGTTTGCAATTTTTCTGTTTTTTCAGCAATAAAGGCATGGTATAGCATTAAAGTTGTATTACTTCTCCCTAACCTATTTCTGTTGAGAATTGGGAATTCTGAGTGCTTAAACTACTTCTAACAGTGGAAATAGAGCATGCTGAAAACTTTAATCTACACAGCGTGGCAATGTAACCTGAATAAGTTATTAAAATACAAATACACACACACGTCTGTGCATATATTTTTGTATTTATATGTAGATAAAAAAAATACAACACAAAAATAGAATTATAAAGCCAGTTTGCAACAATTTCTGAATATAATTAAATCAGTGGTTTGTAAAAGGGCTTTTTATTACACACCGTTACATTTTATTACTGTAACGGCAAGATAAAATGCCTTTTAAATTACAATGAGAAAGCTATTATTAAGTAGAATAATAATATCGATGCAATTTTAAAAACCTCAGCTTCCAAATATTTATTCCCATGGTTAATAGCACTCTATTTGCTGAGTTCAGCATTAAAATTATTTAATTTAAACAAACTGAGAAGCTATAAGTATGCAATACCAAATATCAGAAATTAATTAAAAAAAAATCAACCTCCTATGTGTTCTACTGTAGCTAAGCTATTATAATTTGTCCTTATGGAAAATAAAATGAAAGTATGTAGTACAATCTATTATACATTCTTTTCAGCTGTAGTTTCAGATGCAGTTAAAAGAAAAAAAAACATTAAATACTTCTGGCAGAACTGTGAGTACATCCAGATAAATTGCTCAACGCTACAGGACTGCGTTTCTACGGTGCTTTTTAGCTCATTGTTGTTTGTTCCTTTGGATCTTGTCTTTTCTGTAAAATACAAATAGGACAGCACAGAACTGTACTTAAGTAATGTGAAATTGATTTACAATGAACCTGCAAAGGGTGAATATGCAAACTTTATCTTCGTAAGTGTCATGCTTGTAAGCAAAAAGACATGCTGCTGTTGTGGCTTTACAGTTTTATGGTAGTCAAACAGTTTAAAGTAGAGATGCATGATTAAACCTCTACATAGTCCATTTTGTTACTAAATTAAGGCAAATTTGGAATAGGAGACACGCAGGCTGGTTTAGTGAACATTGCAAAGCAGTGAGGAGAACCCTGTTGCTGCCAAGGCAGTTTAAGGAAAAGGGCAAACATAAGACATAGCTATGTGCTGGCAAATGATATTCAAGAACGTTGTATAACTGGTGGCCTAGTTACAGTGGCATCCTGCGATGGTTTGAGATATCTGGCTCATCCTTATGTTGAAGTTTACTGACGAGGCGGCCTGGCGAGAGGAGCTACGCTAGAGCCACCCCCGTGCACAGTCGAGACTATGAGAATAAGCCCTTCTGCTCTGGCAAGTAAACTACCTCATTAGGATGAGAGTGGAGGGGTCTGTTTGCTGTGGCAAGGGAAGCAGTACCCTCCATGGCAGGGCAAGGCAAGTGGGAGCTGTAATATGTTAAATGACTTCCTAAATGTTTAAAGATTGTTTAGATCAGTTGAAACATGTCTGTGTCTGCTCCTGGAGCATGCTGAGATGGTCCCTGTGTACTGAGACTGCCAAAGGGGGCGGAAGAATTTAGAATTGTCCTTTGTCGCTTCTTCCCCCAGCCAGAGCTGCGTCTCATCCAAGTTAAAATTTCAGTTCCAGGAGAGACCAAATTGCTGTCCCCTAGCCAGTTCAGTATTTTCTGAAAGGGAATGTCAATCAGTTTATTGTTCGTAGGTGCTGGTTATCTAGCAAGCTGAACAAAATTTTTGAATCCCATCCTATTAGAAAGTCCCATTCTGATTTTCAAGGTTAATTATTGGAACTATAGCGCACAAAATAACATGCTTATCTTGTTGGATGGTTGTTGCATTATTAAATATGCTAATAAGGGAAAATCAGCAGTGCCAAATAGTAGTAAAAATTCTAGTAAGTTTTTTTTTTTAATGCCAATAACTAAAGGGGAGTCAAAGTGCAGTTGCTATTGAGTGTTTGGTGTGAGGAGTCTTTTATCATGACTTGTAAATCAAAATAGTACACGTACTGAATGTTCATAGAAAAGAATGACAGAACAATAACATTCAGGTTGTACTTATTTATTCTTCAGTTTACAAATATGTAATTGTGGCATGCAAATCACCTAGGCCTATTTATCTGCTAGTCTATCTGAACACATTGCAAACTAAAGGAAAAAGCTTTTAAGAGCTGATCTTGCAAACAGTTACATATGCATCTTTGAGATTGTTCACGTGAGTAAAGTGACACGGAACTGGATCTGATAAACTGGAATCTTCATTGTTGCGTCCTGATTTCCCACTGTTTCCCCACTTTCCGATGTTTTTCTTGTCTAACTTTCTATACTGTAGGGACTCTAATCCATAATGCCATGATTCACTACAGGATACTTTTTGATATTTCCTTCATTAGAAGGTATGTTGCAGTGATTCCCCTCACCATCACGTCTCCAGTTTTTTAATATTCTTGAAAGAGACCTGGATTTTTTTTCACTCTTCCCAGGGAAGTGTGTGATGTGTTTTTTTTTGTTTCTTTGTTTGGATTTTTTTTTTCTTGTCAAAAATGCAGTCTGCTGAACACATTTGTATTTTGCAGAAGGGATGGGTATGGAACAGGTTTGTTTTTTCAACAACTCAAGTCCAAACTGTTTTATCTAAAAATGAAAATGTTAATTAAAAAAAACCCACTAATTTTCATTTATGAAATAGCAATTTTCAAATAAAAACCCTGAGTCTTTGAAAATGTAGCCCTTTTGCTCTCTAACTCCAAATTAGTCATGCCTATTCAAATTAAATATGATAATACAAAATTAGATGAGGCTAATGTAAAAAAACAAATACCAAAAAGGGTAAAAACAAAAGAATCTAATTGGTTAGTCTTGTGAGTACGAAAAAAGCCAACCCAATCCATGTTTGTAACTGTTCAGTACCAAGTCTTTTTTTGACTATGCCCAAAAGTATGTCTCAGTGCTCAGATCTGATAGCAGAATATCTGTCAACTTCTTGTAGCGTCATTATGCTGCTTTATCTGAACTCCGTAAGCGCCACGAGGTAAGCTAAGCAGATGCTGCGATGTTTTATAGAGTTTTTCCACTTCCTTACCAATTGAAGATGAATTAATTTTGTGTAGGAAATTGCTACGTTAAAATTGTTCTCAAAATGATATTTATTATTCCAGTATCTAAATGGTATGTTAAGAAGGAGCCTGCCTTATGGGCTTCTACTTTTTGATGGAACTGTAGGGGACCTGAGCATCCCTTATACTCTCAGCCTGCTCTCTAGATTTAACAACAATCATTATGATGTTCTGTAAGCCCAGGTTTAAATATTATGCTTTTCACCTTGAAAGAAGAACTTGAGGCTTTGGTTGGTTGAGTTTAATAAATAAAAAGGATAAATTAAGGGGAACTGAGTCCCCTGTATATCTTTCTCAAGAATCTAAAAAGAGGAGTGATTCTAGAAATACTACTTTTATGTATACGTATATGTATGTGTGGATAAATATATATTTTTTTTTTTTCCCAGGAAACTTCTAGGGAATTCAGACATTGGACAGCTTAGGTCAGGCAGGATGTTCTCCAGGCTGTTTTTGAAGTCATGCATTTGCTAAGCTGTTGTACTGAGTGGAAAAAAAAAAAACGTTCAGCGAGCAGGATATGAAAAAGATAAACTGGACTGATTGGTCCAGTTCTATGTAAAGAAAAGGACTAAGGGACTCTGATAGTGTACGAAGACACCACTGTTGATCTGTGTTCCTATGAATAGTGTAAAGTGGGAGATACCTTCTCCTTCAGCAGATGACTTAAATGGAAGACAAGAAGAAAACGTGGGGTAGATTTTGGGTGCTGAGAGCAGTTGGTTGTGGTATGGTAACAGAAGGGAGAAAATAAAATAGAATATTGTGCGAAGGTGACACTATAAAAAGTAATACAACAAGTTACTAAAAACAGGAACTCATGAAGGCTTTTTGAGTAGTTGCTTTACTCTGTGTTTTTTGAAAAAAAGTATTTTCCCATGTTTCACCTGATATTCACCTAATCTTTGGCCTTGATCTCTATTTTACTTCCTATTTCTAGATCTTGGAGTCATGATCTCAAACTTTGCTTCTTCCCTGCTGGAACTCCATTTCACAGAATCACAGAATCGTTTAGGTTGGAAGGGACCTCTGGAGATCATCTACTCCAACCTCCCTGCTCAAGCAGGGTCACCTAGAGCATGTTGCCCAGGATCAATTTCTTTTACATTATTTTGGATACAGCAAAGCCCCAGCTTTTCTGTAAAAGTATTTGTTGTTGTTCTTGTAGTTACGGATAACTTCATGGTGGACTTCAGTACTGTGTGATAGTATCGTAAACTGACAGTGTATCATGTATATAGACTTTTGGACTCACGTGTATAGGATCGTGTGTACGGAGTCCACTCCTCTTAGACTACATGTCGAATAAGCTGAGTGCTTTAATAATTGGAGTATCTCCTAGTCACAGGGGTGTTCTGCAATGAGGCCGTATGCAAGCTTCCAGTTTAACTTTCGAAGTTAAATGATTTAAGAGCCTAATTTTAAAAGACTTTCTTTTCAATTCAGCATGGTATAGTAGAAAATTAGCTGAAGCAACACATAAGTTATGGTGTTTTCTAGAACTCTTAGACTGATGGTGTTTTCTAGAACTCTTAGACTGCAGCAGAGATTTACAGCTGCTGGATGCAGCGAGTCTTTTCTCATAAGCAGTTTCTCTGCTTACTTCTGAAGGGGGAATGCCTTAAGCTCAGTAAAGCACCTCCCCGCAACACCCCACTTGGCAGCAGTTCTGTCTGCAGCCACCGTTAGAAATTCAATGCATCTCATTTCATTCAGCAGGGAAATGAAAGGGCTTCCTTCCTTCCTCTCCCCCGTCCTGCATTTGCGCTGAGTGGTGTACATATGTATATGTGTAATGTATGGTTCTTTCTGTATCATTTTGTATTGAAGCAGATCTAGCTACTGGAATGTATACTTGGACCTTTCATCATACAGATTTGAACATCAAACCAATTTATAAAGCTCAGATGTGTTCATGGGTAATTCACAGACAGAGAGTTGACTTTAGTTTTCATCTGTGAAAATACTAATGCAAAGAGTTCACCAGTCACACTCTGGAACTTGAAATGCAGATCAGCTCAAATCAATTACCTGCTGAATATTGCAACATGAAGAAAAGCTTTTTGAGCAAGGCATGGGAAATTCAGTACTATGATTTTATTCAGGATCCATTCCAAGGTCTCTGCTGAGATGGGATGAGTTTTCTAGCAATCTGTTATGAAAAGGAGGAAAAGATGATTATTTTTATTGAATTATATTTTTTAATTCATATGGTTGAGAAGACTCTGCTACTCCTCCCATTTGCTATAGCAGTGTTTTGTTAGATGTTAGCTCACATACAGATTTTGTTTTAAAATACATTGGGGTGGTTTTGGTAATTATCTACTGATGAGTTTAAAAATACCTTAGAAAATTGTTCATATCTTGCATAAGCTTGATTAAAAAACACTTGAGTTGATACAGAGAGTTTCAGAGCTAAACCTATTAAAGAATGGGCTTTTCCAGGAATTGCCTCAGTAGTTAAAAGGAGCCTGTTTACAGAAAACCTTTTGTTACTTGTTAACAGTAGTTAAAAGAACCTATTTATGATACTTAATATCTTACACAAGGACAAGAAGAGTGAAAATCTACTGACTCACGTGAAATTGTGGATGCCATCAGACATTTGAGCAAAAACTCTGAATTCCAGTTGATTCATAGACTCTCTTGTTCTCCATCCATACGAAACTAGAATTCTGGAAAGATGCAATTTAGTTAACATGAATAAAGACCTTGGATGTGACAAAAGGAATACTAGAATGGAGAACTCTTGTTCTTGAGTAGACACTTCAATTTCTCAACAGTGGACATTTTTTTTTAAAGTCAGCTGCAGCTGGCCTATGTTGTGACTTGTGCAGATGGACCAGCAATGGCAAACATGCTGCTGTGCATAATTGATGTAGTAATTTAGAATTCGGCTCTTGGCAACTAGCTAGATTTTGGCAACAGAAAACTTGCAGATGGCGGTGTATGGGAGGCAGTACATTGACAATGACCACTGGTAGCGATGTGTAATCCTTTATTGCAATAAGTTTATTGTTGGTGTAGAGGCTATAACAGGACACTCGCTTTCCCTTTGAATCACCCCCTTGTCCATAACTAACACTATCATAATTTTCAGCCCATGATGGTGAACAACTTTGACCAGAATGGAGATGCTCTTGATATTTTACTCTTGTGTAAAGCCCTAGGGCAATGCCTGAAGCTTTTAAAGCAGATTACAATAGAGTTTTGTTTGCACCTTTGCTGTCAGGGGGAGGGAAGCGCTTCCTGTGAAGCTGGCATGTGAAAGGCCAGAACTCTATGGCCTTCTCACATTTGGGGATATTCTGATCTCAAATTCTAATTGTGCAGTCAACATGAAACCTGGACATAAAGGTATGAAAGGTGGCATTTTTATTTTATGATTTATTTTGTGCCACATCACACTCTTCTTTGCACATCACTTTCTCTTTCATATAAAATATTTCAGTCAATGCTCTTTAGTGCAAAGGAGAATAAGAAACCTAATTAATTGCCTCTATCTCATGAATGCCATTTATAGTCATGGTATAAAATCAATTTAGATTTTGATATTCTCCTCAGAGAGACCCACCAAAAGCTCTCAGGGCCCATGGCATAATTTCTTCGAGTTGTGAGGTAGGATGTTTTATGACTGTGCAGAATAGAAATGCACACTCCTAGACCTGATTGCTTCTGCTGTTCTTCAGTATGCGTTCAGACAGATGTGCTTTGTAGTGCTCAGTGAAAAAGAAAGAGTTGGAAGTGAGGAGAGAACAATAGAGCAGAAAATTAAAGAAAGTGGGGAGGAAGAGATGAGTTGTATCTTTTCTAGCAGGACTGTAGTTTTAGGGGAAAAATTATAGAGAAACTAAGTTTGTTGCATGTCTGCCTTTAGCTGCTTTGGTTGACAGCAGAATTTATTTAAGTATTTAGGAGAAGGAAGGATGAGAAGTGAAAAACAAAATATTTCTTTTAATGAAGTATTGCAAACTTCATTGTGATTTAAAGTCAAGTATTCCTCGCAGAGTTAAATATAAGATGAGGAAATAGAGACAATAAATAACTGCACCTAAATGGGGATGTTGAAAAGGGTGGTGATTCTGCCCCTGTAGTCAGTAGGAAAAGGGAACCATTTCCAGAGGCAAATCAGAGCAAGTGCTGTGACGACCTCAGGGCAGCTCAAGGATTTCAGACAGTGGCGTTTGTCAGTACAGGAATGAGTGGCTAAGAGAGCCCTGCCCTTCCCACAGGGAAGGGAGGGGAGGAGGAAGGGCTCATGGAAAGGTTGGGGAGCTGAGGGGAGAGCCTGGAAGTTGGTCTGCCCCACTACAGGAGGAGCAGGACAGGTCAAGGTGTAGTGAAGGATGGGTCTTTCAACTCACTATTTGCTAACCGACTCTTTTGGGACACTAATACCTTTTTGTCATTGTCACCAGCATGTTACAGTAATATTAAACCCTTTGAATGTGGAGAGAGCGGAATTTCAGGTGGCTGCTGGCATTTTGATGGCTGCTTTTACGCTTTGGACAGGAGCACTTCACTGTGACCACTGTGGTTCTGGTCTCCTGGCGCATGCCCTGGCTGTACGCACCTGGTTGCCCACTAAAGGCTTGAACATATGCCGTAGTCCGTGGCTGATGATTTGCTATGGGAGAAACCTAGGAGTGTGGTCACAAAAGGAGCCCTGGTTTGTTATAGGAGATGGAGTGGATGACTGAGGTGTTTAACTGGTGTGCTTTGTAGGCTGCTTTGTTCATAGTGCAAGTGCAGCCATTGAAAGTAAGACCAGAACGAGAGCACTGAATTTGTTTTCTTCTCCCCAAAATATTTGCATGTTGCTACTCTGACAACAGCTATTGTACTCTACATTAGCAAAGAAGTTTTTCCTTGGTGAGAGAACTAATTTGCTGTGTAGCCTGCTTGTCAGCTTTGAGGCCTTGGGCTCAGTCAGTGAAGAAAGATGACCGGTTGTGCTCCCCAGGGCTGGATTACTGTGTGTGAGGACCACTTGGAGGGGTCTGAGCTTTGTCTTTCTGTTTGAAACAGCCAGAGATACAGGAGGGTGAAAGCTCAAAATGTAGGTGAGGTGGACTGAAACAAGTTTGCAGAGCCCAAGCCCCTTGGTTTAATAGCAAACAATTTGACCAGTTCTGTTTGTTGTCCCTTCCTCCCCCAATCTGTTTGCTTACTGCCTGAATGAAATCTCTTAATTCTAGGAAACATCAAGACTTGATGGTGAGACAACATGATTATATCTAGTAATTGTATGTTGGCCATGTATGCCATATTCTTTATTTTTCTGTGTCTATATTGGCGCTTCTGTGGCTCAGTGTGGTGAGGTCACTCCTTTGTGTTGGGATGTGCAGTGAATATTGAAAATAATTCTAGGAAGTTGAAGAAAATTTGTATTACGTTTTTGCCTGAGTCCTCTAGTTAGTATGACTGATCAAATCTGGGAACAATTGTAAGTGCTGTACTTAAGTCAGCAGAAAGAACAGATCTGGCAGAGGTTATCCCTCCAGCTTGTCTGGCTAGATGACTTTGCTGAGGTTTAGCAATCCATGTTAAGTATTTGGAGTTGAGCAAGTAGAACGAAATTACCCCTTTGAGAGGAATAACTGATTTCCTGATGAAATGAAATGGCAGTGGGGGATAGTATGTGGAAACAGTAAGGTATACTTTTAAAAGAAAACAGCGTTTCAGTTTTGCTAAATGGGTAATGCAATAATAAAGACATATAATGTACTAAAATAATGAATTAGAACCTGTGTGGATTGTCTGATAAGATACATTTAGTAAGACACTTGTCAGGTTGAGCTTTTCAGACAACAAGAATTTTAATAAGATACTTCTGAGATCAGTTGGATATCTCAGTGTGGAAGTGAGATAGGTTAATGTTTGCTAGGGAAAAAATATCTCACAATGTGATTACATCAGTTATGTAAATTAGGAAATGACAAGTTTGAGGAATGTTTTAGGGAAACTTTACCCAAGATGGTAGCCCTCGTTATTTGTTAGTCACCCTGTTTTTTCAAACATATTCTGAAAAAAGGGATCACAAACTGCTAATAAGTTTTGTTTTGGGAAGTGCATTTTTGGCTCCAGTAGAGGAGCCAGATTTGCATTTTTTTTGGGATAGGCTCAAGTCTGACCAGCTGTAAAAGCTTACAAACAGTAAAACTTAAGTCAGATGGGATTCAGTAAATGACTAACATAATGGTTAGTGGGGGAAATTTATTTTTATTGACCACAATATAGAAAGAGAATTACTTTATACTAGATCCTCACCATGTTATTGCACTGTGGACATAAATTATGATTATCCTCCCTTATTTTTTCCCTTTCTAGTCCACACTGTCTACAGCATTATAACTGTCAATTTATACTTGGTGACTTATTTTCTAGGCATATACCTTTAGTTTTAGGTAGCATGCTGTGTCCACTTCTGGTTTTCTCATTTCTGTATGTTTATAAATTACGATTAAATATAAAGGGCAAATACTTTTGTTGCTTTACCAGTAATTCTGTACCAAAAGAATTGTTTTCTGGAGGATGCCACAGCAGGGATTTCTTCTTTCTAATTATATAACACCAAAGGGTAAACCTCCTGGTGGTTAATTTATGTGCAAAAACTGCTTTAGTTTAGGTGTTAAATGATGTTTTAGCACTTAAGGCTGAATTAGTACAAATTAATCGTGTTTGCATAACTGTTGACAATTGTTATGACCTCTGGCTTAGTCTTTAGCGATGAGTGTGTTTAGTCTTTAGCAGTACATTTTAGTTATCCATAATTAACATTGAGAATGAATTATAAGCCAGTGGGAAAATTAGCCAGTAGAGCAGAGATGACTGCACTTGTCTATCCCAGTGGGTGGAAGAATGAAGGATAAGGTTGACTTTAGGTGGTGAAGTGGTTCCATTTTCAAAAAAAAAAAAAAATTAGTTTTCAAAAAATGGAAGCAGACAAGTTGAATTCAAAACTGTTATCCAGAGTAATCAGTGAAATCCTTTGTGAACTGCGTAACAAAAGTGATGATCCATATAAGAGTAGTCTATGTTAGTTTATACTGAAATAGGGCTCAGTTTTGTTGGATCCAGTTGAGTGTGAGGGAATTACCTTTTTTATGTTGATGAGAGAGACCTAGCTCATAGTTATAGGAAAAAAGCCAATGAACAGGATGAAATTTGTTGTGACAGTGGTTAATCTTGGAATCTTTTTCTACACCTCTGAAGTTGATATGAAAATTCAGTAAATTTGAAGTAAATATTCCTTGGGGAAACTGAGTGTGACTATTTTCTTCTGAAAGATAGTGATTAGAGCTTACAAATTTTCTTTTTTTTGTCCTTAAGAAGATGATTTTGCTATTTGAGTAAAGCTCTTCTTTTCAGAAACAGTTTATTGTAGAAATAGTCCCCATACCTCACATTCAAATATGATTTAGACCTTAGGAATACATAATATACTATATATGAAATACACAAGCATTGAGGGAAAGCATGATGACCATGACTCTAACATTCTACCATCTACACCCCAAACCTAAGGCTTCGTCTCATGTGTAGGATAGGAAAACCTCAGCCTTGGCAGATGTAATCAGTCATCTCCTTTATTGAAAGGAAGAAAACTATGTGGACACTATCTCCTCTGATGACCCTAAAAAATAGTTTTCATTCTACATATAGTGGAACAATGATAAAACTTTGAATTTTTACTAGCAGCCTGACCAGGTTTCCGAGTCCATTCACATGTTTTCCTCTAGAAATCTATGTAATCATTTCTCTGTCTATTGTCCACTAATAGAAACATCAGTATATGGTGAGTACCAGTTATTAACAAAATTGGGCTCTTTCTCTTTTGTGATAAATATTGCAAATTGAAAGTCTTCCTAGGAGGGTTCTTATTCCTCTAGATTTTTGCCACTGCAATATTTAGAGATGCAAATAATAAATATCTAATCAATACTATCAAGTATCTGTAGATCATTAAATGTATGAAAAAATAATGACCTTAGCATCACAAGCCCCAAGCGTTTGGAATGAGAGTTTTTCTTAAAGCCTCCCTGCGATTTTTAACAATTTATTGTAAAGTCACTTGACTTTTTGTTGCTTCGGGGAAGGTGTTATGAATGGCAATTTATTAGTGTTAATAATACTTTCGTGATTACATGAAAGGTTCCTTGTTGCCACCAATTAATTAATCCATCAGAAAATGTCCTTCCTTTTGGAATAGATTAACATTTTTTCAGTAACATTTTCTGGCATCTCTAGTCTTCACGTGAAGCAAACTTTGTGATGTGTATGTCCTGGAAAACATGTTTTGCTTCATTTTCTTGTGAATGTGGCGTTCCAATTAATCTCAGCACAGTCAGGTTTTTGGCAAGTTATTTGCTTGACCTGTCTTCTGAGTATCTGCTCTAGCATGTATCTGCTGCTGATGACTTGCACTTTAAGCTATTTATTTGTTCTCTGCTTTTGCAGTGGAATCTTAGTCCATGCTTGGGTTTCCTCTGCCAGTTGGTATTATTGTACTTAGTTGTCAGATCAATTACTGGGTTAGGTTGTTGTCTGGCTGCATTTTGTGTTGTGCACCTTCAAAAATCAAAGATTTGCAAGCTTAAGTAGTGGGTTGATGGAGGTTTTTTTTTTTCCTACGTGCCTAGAAACATGTTGAAGAACATGTGCAGTGAGGGAAACAAAAGCTTTGGTGCTAATCTGGTCCTCTTCATATCTTGAAGATGTCAGATTAAAATGCTGTCTGCTCTGTGCATACATGGTTACTAGCATTCCTGATCTTTCTGGGTACTCCTTGGGATGACTTCCAGAACTTTGTGTGTTGCCAGTTAATCTTCACAATACACTTTTCATAGGCTGTTCTGCTTTCTTTTAATCTTCCTCCTGTTGTCTTCCTCCCTGTGTCTTGTTTCTCTTCTCACCTACCTCATTGCTTGGTTGTCATGTACTGCTCCATAGCTTTTGTGTTAACTGTATTTGCTTTATGCTACAACTGTTCCACTATAGATGATTCCTATTCCTGTGGACAGGTTTTTCTGCTGACATCTGGAATTGGCCGGTTGCATCTCAGTCCCTATATGTTTTTTTCTTCTAAATCAATTAAAAAAGGATTGTATTTATCAAGAATAGGTGAAGCCTATTTAGAAATGGGCATTTTTAGAAGGTTACATCTGTTTTCTGTAGAATGAATAATAACAAGTTTATGTTTCTGCAGAAACATAGTCATGGCCATTATTAGGTATGCATGCAATTGCATATCATTGTTCTGTATTAGCTAGTATTGAGATACATATTTTGTTTGTTAAATTATCTAGTTAAAGGCTAATTACAGTAAGCATGAAGACCTGGTAAGGATCAGAGAAACAATGACAGGCTAAGATACACAAGTACTCTCATAGTGAAAACCAAAAGGAGCATGCTGAATTTGCTATTCCTGAAGACCATGAAAGATGAACAATTGGAACTTTGTGCCTGGTGTGAAACGCACCAAGATGAGTCAAGGGGGAAACTTCCTGAAATGCTATGGGGAAAAAAAAAAAAGGGGTTATTGCTTGCAAGGATGTAGGACTTGCAAGGATGTGAAACTGACTATGAAATGTTTAAGAGAAGGATGAAAACACCAGACCTAAGCAGTGGGATGGATCAAGGTGGGCCAAGGAGAGCCAAGTATCAAAAATCGAAAATAGAGGGAAAGGGGAGTAAAAGGGGCTGGTTGTGTGTAAACAGGTTGCTGGTCAGTACGCTTGTCTGAGTGAGCCCTGTGCTTGATTACCCAGTCTATGCTCTTATTAAATCCTGTTTCTTACCTTCTTCCATGCGGGTGGTGCACTGGCTGTTTGGTGCATATGTGGATGCCTGCAAACTTCACATCAAACCAACTGTCAGGTAAGATGAGAGGTCTGAGTGCCAGCAACTCACATAGGCACAAACCTCTGGGACTCAAGGTGGGAGGAGGCTGGGGTCTAGGAGCCAGCTACTGAATAGATTGAGTGTCTAAACTGAGCTGCTGGAGAAAGAGACAATATATATGCGTGTGTGTATTCCCTAGCAGACTGAATCGTGATCAGTGAGAGAGGAGAAGGATCAGGCCTTTGTACTATTTGTGCTTCTGTGAGTGCCCTGTGCATGTTGATGCTGGTAAAGGCACTATTCTGTCTGTGTTGCTCTATGCGACTGGCCGTGTGCGTATGTGTGTGTATGTACAATATATACAGTATGTATGTGTGCTGGGAATACTCACACAGCTTTGCTTCTGGCTGTTCCTGGGGACATGAAACCGCTGCAGCCTCTTATCAATCCTGGCTCATGGGTCCTAGAGCCCACAGGATTCAGCAACCTCTAACATTGCGCATTTTCGAAAGAAAGCTAAGTAAAGTGAATACATTTTAAACATATTATTCTATGTTCATTACAACTGGTAACTCCATTTTAATTTTAAATGTCTGGTACAGTATATGCATGTACTAGTCATAGACTTTGTTAAACTGAAGTGTGACTTAGGGTAAACAGCAAAGTTTGATATAGAGCAACAAGTACTAATGATTTTTAACTTATCTTACTGTGTTAATGGGCTCTGATTACCTTCCTATGCTGATTGCTAAAAGACTTTCTGAATAGAAAAGTCATGTGGACTTAATTCAGGAAAACGCTAATGCAAAAATTGAGCTTTGCTCACTGGAAAGTATAAAATGAGGATTCCTAGAGAGATAACAAATTACCTGAGAATAATTTGGCTAATCAGTGAGCCATTGAAAATGGTGCTCTGTACTTTAGTATTCTTATAGCTTTCATGCATGTTTATATATTTTAATTGGAAAAAATACAGATTTTTGCTTCCTGGTGTTTTTACTTGCTGCTTAGCAGTGGGGTATGAATAGTTTGCAATATATGGTCTAATAATCTAAATAATAACGTAGCTATTAATCCGGTATTCTTGGGGAAATGAACGACACAACTTGAGTGTGTTGAGTGTGTTCCTGCCTTTCCTCCTCGCTGAGTTATTATCTACATATAAAAATTATGCTGAATTACTGCTTGCGAAGGAGGAATTGACCACATAGGGTATGATGCTATTATTTGATAATAGTGGGCTCTCTAATCTGCCAAGCAAAGACATAACAAGATCCAACAGCTGGAAGTTTGAGTCAGTAAAGCTGAAACTGGAAGGAAGGTGAAAACTGCTCACACTGAGGGCAAGCAAGCATTGGGACAGATTGGTAAGGGACATGGCAAATTTTTCATTTTCTTGTTTCGTGACTTTCTTCCTAAGGAATATAATCCGATTTGTCAGATACTCAAATTATATGAAGCAGTTTTACACAATCTGCGTAGGGCTTAAGGTCAGGCTAGCTTAACAGACGAAAATGCCAGTTGTGAGCGTTGTCTGTCTATTTTTGTCTAAAACGCCTAGATAACTGCAAAGATGCACAGAAAGGTATCTTAAAAAATTCAATTGGCTTGTGAGTTACAGTGTAATAGTATTTATCAAAATAACTTCTCATAGCCCATAGGGGGATGGAGAGAGGCATATTTTAGTGCCATAGTTTAAGTATGTCACTAGTATATTTGTCCCTAGCTACTGTCTCTTCCTGCTGGAGTCGTGACTTCCATGCTGTGGGCAAGCCGGTGAAAGGCCTGCTGCTGCTGTTGATCTATTTCTGGTCCTGCTTATTCTGGGGAAAAGATTACTCCCCTGCATCGGTCAAGGGATCATGGATGTTGCTCAGTCAAGCTGAGATAAGACAATATATTGATCTTTGTTGAACTGCAGCTGCAGTAATGTGTTGCAATCTACTTGCATCACCGCATCTGGTCAGCTTCTGAGTGATAAGTGACAAAGGAAGAACTGGGTTCAATGTGTTTTGCTGCGAGTCTTTGCTCTAGATCAGTGGCCATGTGTAAAATCATGCATCCCTAACAGGTATAATTCCTTTCAGGAAATCAGAAAGTTTCTTTTATGTTTGCATCTTTAGGATATCTTGGCCAAATTAAAACTTCATTCAGTTTGAGTGTGATTTAGAGGGTGTCTAGATTTTGATAGAAAATATACAGGCCCTAATTGCTCTTCGAGTAGATTCTAACTGATATAGGTTGCTTGAGGAGGATGATGTGGTGGATTCTTTGCCAGCCTGACATCACAAGGAGCAACCTTTAATGTGGAAGAAGAGATTTTTTTTTTGTCATCTACACATCTGTTTCGTGATCACATTGCTATAAAAAGAAAACATATAGAATGTTTGTGATACAGAAGGAGCCTCTGAAACAAATAAGAGCCAGTCGGGGATGCTGTTTATATGGTGTACGCATAAAGCCAACCTTCATTGGTATGGTACCGTTTTAGCTTCTGATCAAGATATAAAAGCAAAGCAAAAAACTAGATCTTGAATAATAAGCTTGCAGACCTGAAATATTGACCCATAGGTACTTCGTCTAAGATTAGAAGTTTATATCATGTTTGGATCTGAGGAGTGCCAGCATACTAGTTTGTTATTTTTATAAATAGTAAGAATGTAAGTTAAGCAATAATTTGCTTGTTTCTAAAAATGAAAAAACAAAAACGGATCTTATGGTGATTAAGTTCTTCTTCTGCAGTTTTTGGCAATGTCTAATATAAAATGAGCACAGAGTAATTGTACTTTTTTGTGATAAAATGAAGCGCAAAGAATACGAAACAAAAGCAAATGTAGTGCTTGTCAGAAATGGATGACAGAGGAACAGTAATAGGAGGAGGGATTTCAGTTAAAGTGCATTTGAAAGCACATGGCTAATAGATGGGGAAAGATGCATCAGTTACATTAATGCCGATCAATAATTGGTCTTTACAAAGAGGGATAAGAGACAAGTGTGTACCATTAATGAGGAAGAGTTAAATATAGTCGAGAAGTCAAGAGCATGTATCATCAAATGTGAATAGTCAGACTGAGTGGTGAGACAAATCATTGAGTTCCAATCAACATGAAGTTTTTTGATGTTGCTAATGGTGACTTCTTAGCTTCCTCAGGAAAAAGGAATAACCCTACTGAAAAAAATGTGCTTCTATTTAAAGTAGAAAATGAATAGCTCTTTAAAATTCAAAACAAATTCTTGTCTCTGAACCGAAAAATTTATTTGTTATCGGGTGCTTAAAGGTGTAAAAGTGATGAATACAGAATATACTCGGAAAAGAATTCTGGACAGCTATATAACTAATGAAACAAAGTGCAATTGGTTTTAAAAAAAGTGAGGGAAAGGGACAAACCTGCAGAGTTGAACTGTTCAAAGGCTAATAGATGAGGTACTGAAGATGAGATCAGGTAGTCAGGTAATGAAAATGCTAACATCTTTATTTCACTAAGATTTTCCTGTTGTTGCACAAAAGGAGGAATGAAATAGTGCAGAACCAAAAAAAGTCATACCTGCATCCTCCGTGAATGATGAGGAAGTGAAAACGTGAGCTAGAACTCAACACCTAGAATAGTGAGGAGTTTTTAAGTTCGCATCTCTGTAAAGAACAAAAGAGAATGAACCAGAAGGAAAGCCAATTTTTGAATACATGAGCAAATTAAGCAAAAGAAAGTTAGTAACAAAAAAACAAAAGAAAAGAATGTTGTTACTCTGCAGTGAAGAGTAGAAGTCCATATCATTTCCATAAGTGGCAATCTAAAATATTTTACTCTAAAAAATTAGTTACGTATAAAATTTGACAACGGGCCTAATAGTGTGTGAATTGGAAGGTCAAGCTCTTGAGCAAAAAAGAGTCTAATTTCTGTGAAGTCTGTACTGGAACATGTCGGATGTAAACACCTGCTTCTGCTTCAGACAGACCTAGGCCTCTGACCTCTCTGTCCTGGTCCTCAGAGTATTAGCTCCTTGGTGAGGCAACGCTCTACTATGAAAAATATGGAAAGCCTTGCTTTCTACCTGCTTCCCTTCTGAAAAGAAAACTTCTTAGAGGTTTGAAAAAGTGCCTGATTTGCTGTCAGTGGACAACCCCCCTATCACCCAGGTCTCCTGCACGGCTCCGTTCTGTGATGGGGCGTGGGGGGAAAGGGGCATCACAGTTCCCTCCCGCTCCTGAGGATGGAAACGAAGTGGGCTACAGCTTCACCCACGTAAGGTTTTACACGGAGGGTAAGACATAGGACCAGTCAGTAACTGAACAAGGTAAGTTCACAGGACTACCTAGATAAATCAGCTAGTTAAATGCATCCAGAATGACGCATCAAGAGCCTTTTCCTCTCTCCTCATGCTTTTTGCAAAGGAAGTGCTTAGAGGGAGAGAGAAATCAGGATTTCATGCAAAGTTCACTGTAAATGATGAATCATCAACAAGCTTTAGATTCAACATTTAGATTGCTTTTTTTCCTTTTTTCGGTCTTTCGTTCTTCCAAATGTCTTCGCTCTGGTAGCTTATTTGAAATTTTATAAATTAGTCTTCCAGAGAATGTGCTTCTGGATATCTAGTGTTAGTGTTACCATTCCTGAATGCTGATGTGATTTTTGTTCCATCTGTGCAGCAATAACCATTTTACAGAGGAGAAGGGAGGTCAGCAGCCGCTGTTGCATCTTGAACCGTGGGTTGTTTTCTCTTTGAGTGCAGGTGAGTGCTTACTGATTTATACTGTATTTGACTTTCTGTCCTTCCCTTTTCTCCTTTTTTATTATTTGAAGTTTATTATGTGAAGAAATCACTAACTCTGTCATCTTTACATGTTTGCATTTGACTTGCAAAATGTTCAGTGTCAAAGAATGGCTGGTGCTGGAGGAGGACAAGGGGCTGGAACCCCTGCTTGCCCCTATCCACTGGGCACAAGCTCCTGTGTGTTCTTGCTTTTCCTTCTTCAGGACTAGAGTACTTTCCCTA